TAAAAATAAAAACATTTACAAAAAAATCATTTCTTTATCATCTTAAAGAAAAAAATAATGATTTTTTAAAGTTTCTAAAGATGTTCAAGACTTTTTATATTACTGAGAAAGGTGTTCACAAGCCAACAGAAGTTGGGAAGTGTTTTCCAGAATGTTTTGTTGTATTGCATTGCAGTTACAATTCCCTTGCTGGAACAAATACAACATTCTCAAAAGCTCTGCAGTTAAACTTGGAAGTTTTCCAGCCCAGTTTCCCCCTCCCAGCTAGGATTTGATTTGGGGAAAATTACATTCCAGGAACAAGCTGTTCCTCTCCGGGAGAACTGAGCAGTGCAGCTAACTGCTTAGAAGCCATTCCTGGCACCTGCTCAGGGCCATGGGCCTCTCCTAGGCTCTGGCTAAGTGTCCAGGCTCTAAAACCCAGGGCAAAAGCAGGTATAGTTGAGGTTAGCCTCTCCTTAGTATTACAGAAAAGAAATCGAGCCACTAGGCAAAGAAGCTGCTCCAAACTGTAAAAGGAACGGGAGAAGTATGTCTTTTGTCCAAATAAGCCAGCCCCATAATATTGCTATGGACAGAAATGGCTTTGTCATCAAGAAACTCCTTTATTATGTTTGAATGGTCCTTTACAGTTTACAAAGTGGTCTTGACCAGGAGGTGAGGTGAATTACGTTTTGTCACACAATAGGAAACCAGGGCTCCTTCCACGTGCTGCCCTGCCACTGCCTCTCGGCAATATAGATCCTCACGTGCTCTCACAACAGCTCCCAAATCTTTGGTCACTGTACTTACCACGCAGTGATGTAGATGTACATGGTTTTGCTGTCACTTCTTCCCCATCCCCACTGTTCCCCTGCCTCTAGTAGTTTGTGAAATCCTTAAGTGCAGGAAGCAGGTCTTTACCTCTGTGTCTCTACCTTCTGTGTACACAGTAGGTACTTCATAAATGTGCTTAACAGATAGGTGCATATGGACACCAACATAGAGCTTACTTAGGGCAGATTATAGTTCTTGGAGGCCAGGGTCCATGTCTGATTTCAGTTTGTGTCTCTCAAGATGAGCCTGGCACATAGTAAGTAGTCAATACATTTTTTAAGAATCCATTCATTTGTTCATCAAAGATTTCCTGAGCACCTCAATGTGAACCAACCATAAAGGAGATGGGGCAGCGATGTGGTTACCTGCAAGCGTTCCAGCCGGATA